AAATTAGGGTGAAAACCTCATGAAATTGGATTTGGCAATGATTTCTTTGCTATGGCCCCAAATGCATCACCAACAACAAAATAGATAAATTGGACATTAGCAAAATTGAAAACGTTGCCCTCTCTCTCTCTCCCTCCTCTCTCTCTCTCTCTCTCTCTCTCTCTCTCTCACACACACACACACACACACACACACACACACGTATGAATTGAAAGAATCTGTTGAAGAGGTTGCTAAACCCCTATGGTCATTGTCTTTTTTTCACAACAGCCAAGACAGAGACTAAATGTCTATCAGTGATGAATGGTAAAGGAAACGTGGCATCTATACACACTGCAGGGCAGCTGAACCTTTAAAAAGAAGGCGGTTCTGTCACTGGGATTACGTGAAGGAACCTGGAGGATACGATGCTAAGTGAAATCAGCCATGCACAGGGAGGAGCACTGCAGGGTCTCTCTCACATGTGGAACCTAAAAGTTACAGTTCTATGAAGAAGAGAGCAGAATGTGGGTACCAGAGACTGAGTGGCAGGCAGGAGGGAGTGGGACAGTGGTCACAGGGTGCAATGCTCCAGATAGACAAGGAGGCAAGTTTTAAGAGAGAGGACGCAGCAGGAGATTTTAGTCAGGAATGATGTATATTTCAGAGTAGCTAAAAGTAAATTTAAAATTCTTACCATAAAGTGACAGATAAGGGAAGTAATGACTATGTTAATTAGCTTGATTTAATCACTCCAAATTGTATACAGATATCAAACACTATGTTGAGTTCCCCCAAATGTATGCAATTATGTCAATTTAAAAACTATTAATAATAATAAACAAAAGGCTTAACCAAGAAAGTGAAAACACCACTGTTAGAATGGCAGGAAATAATTGCAAATAAAATGTCTGCTAAGAGGTTAATGTCCAGAATAGATAAGAAACTACTGTAACTCAACAACAGTAGCAAAAACAACCACCAAAACCAAACAGCCCATTAAAAGTAAGGAAAGGACTTGAATAGATACTTTCCAAAAATATATGTGAATAGCCAATAAGCACATGAAAAGATGTTCAACCTTACTCACATACCACACATATACATATATTCACTCATATACCACACATAGACAGGTAGACCAGGCTGGCCTCAGTCTCATAGAGCCCTCCCTGCCTCTGCTTCCGAGTGCTAGGGTAAAAGGTGTGCACCACCAGCTCTGGCATCGCTTGCCCCATTTTTATCCTAGGCCTACATGCATTCATCACTGTGTTAGATGTATTTGTGGCTAAATTTGTAGCTTTCTCTTGTAATTTTTATCTATTTTGCACACCATTGATAAAGAATTCCACCTCTCTGGTATAGGAAGAGAGAAGAGGTCACTCACTGTTTACTATCAGGCTGATGGAGGAACTCTTCTTGGAACTGACTAGGTTGGAGACCTCACACTGATACTCCCCAGCATCTTCCCCCTCCACAGGATCTATGCTGAGTCTACTGTTGTTCTCAGACAGCATCATCCTGTCAGTGAGCTTCAGATTCTGGTTATTGAAGATCCACTGGATGGAGATTTCAGAGTCCCCTGAGACACAGGTGAAGACCACAGAGTCCTTTTCTTTGACTGTGTCGTTGGTGACTCTGATGGAGGGTTGTGAAACTGGCTCTGTGGAGAAACAGAGGAGGAGACCAACTGAGAGCAGATCTCAGCTAGCTCCCAGGGCACACGGTGTAAAGTGTGAGGTGGCCCAGAGCCTCTACAAGGTCGCAAGTCTCGCTCAGGGTACAATCCAATCTGTGAAGACAGAGCTGCAACTTCCTCTGACCTAATCACCTAGCGTGACCCCTGACCCAGAACATCTTTGTAGATTCCACACCAGGAACCTCTTCTCAGCCCATGTATCCAGAAACCTCATCTTCAGGTGGAATCCTTTTTCCTTTGACTTTTGTACAAACTATTTCTGGTACTTTCTGGGAGCATGAGCAGGCCCCTCCATTATAAAGTAACTTTCTGCTTCCTTTTCATTTAAATAATTTGTCATGGAATTAGGATGGCAACTTAACATATTGAGGCCTAGACTTTAGGGTTGGGAGAAAGCTCAAAGTAAAGATTTTTCTGTTTTCAAGAGTTTTATTTGCTAGCTTATGGTTAAATATCACCTTAAAAGAAACTGAATGGTCCCTGTCTTAAAAAGACGGACACTCTGGTCGTCACTACAGATAACATTTGGCACTTCCCTTTCCCTCCTCCACACAGACAGTCGACGTGAGCTTCCTGTTCTCCAAGTGACTGGCCCTCACTGTTCTCTGTGGCCATCACATATGTTGCTGTCCACAGCCTCCCTCTGCTGGGTCTGCAGAGCCAACACTCACCTCAGTCATCGACCCTGAGGTTCACTTTTCCCACCGACCCCAGGGATGCTCTGTCGGCCATCAGTGACAGGTTTTCTTTTTTTAACTTTGAGAAGAAGGAAACTTGCTACATCAAACAATTAGTGACATATTTGATCCTAATTCTGGACAGGCCTCCCAGGCACCTTCACCTACCCCTTCCCAGCTCAGTGGAGTGAAAGCAAGGCCAGACCCATCGTGATAGGAGCAGAGATGGGAGCAGATCTCTGAGCTGCCTGTCCCCTATCTTTGGAGTTTTCTCCTCCCATTTAGATAAAACCAATGTTTTCCAAAATCTAGGTATTCCTTCAGCGGCACAGAGGTCAGAAAAAGAAAAGTGAGGGGACAGGATGCCACGAGTTCCAAAGAAATCATCTTGACTTTAAGGACCCTACCTCCCCCTTGGAAGTCGCCCCCACAAATGAAGGATTTCCCTGGGCTGGGAGAACCTCCTCCTCACATTCCAGGCCCATTCCCAGTCAGCCAGCAGAAATCAGAGAAGCCTGAAGGGAAGAGGAGACGCAGGACGCAGTGAGACTCTCAGAGGAAGATTGGAATTTGCTTTTGCCCATGATCACAGGCTGGAAATTAACTTCTGCATCTTTCCAGAAAAACCAAAAGTCTCCACCAAAAGCTTGGTGCAGTTTTCTCAGGGATCCACTTACCGAGGACTGTAACATTCTTGACTGTGGTCCTATTCAGGCCAGTGGCAGAGTTATAGACGAGGCAGGCATAAGATCCGCTATGGTTAGTAGTGATGTTGGGGATAAAGAGTTCTTGTGAGGATGGCTGGGGCTTCTCATTGATAAGCCAAGAATACTGTGCAGGTGGGTTAGAGGTTGCATGGCAGGAGAGGCTGAGGTTTGTCCCTGAGCGGAAATATGAGTCTGGGGGGGATATGGTGGGGGCATCCGGGCCATCTGGAGCAAACAGAATAAAGCCACATGTGATATCATGAGAGGGAAGTGCAGCTCCTCCTCTGTAGGTCATAGTATGTCTCTGAGCTATGTTATAAGCACTGTTAACTAGGTCCCAACCAGGGCTAGGGATGTAGCATAGTAGAATACTTGTTTAGCGTGCACATGGCCTTGAGTTCCATCACCAGTACAAAATACACTAGAAAGTCCCAGCTTCTCATGTGCTTACTGAGCCTTAGTTGGAGATATCCCTGTTTCTCCATTACAGGTGGTAACCCTGAGTCTCTCCAGACGGGTTAAGTCCCTTCACCTAGTTCTTAACTCAAGGCTGATTCTTAGTTCTTGGGTCTGGCTGAATAGGCTTTGCATAGGACAAGATACCATGGTGTCCATCTGCATCGTGAACCCCAGTGGGACTGAGTGGCCTGGCTCTAGCTCTGAGTATCTGGCAGTTGCAGCCATGACAGAATAGAAGTTACTCACAGGTAACATTCAGGTAGAATGCGTCACTTCGGTTGGCACTCACTAGGTTCGAGGTTTCACACTCATAGGGTCCTGTGTCATTCCTCGTGACACTGAGTAAAGTGAGAGTCCTGTTGCCCTCGGACAGCTCCAGCCTGTCACCCTCTGAGAGGCTCTGACCATTTATCCACCACAGGTAGGTTGTGTTCTGAGTCCCAGGTTCACACGTTAATGCTACAGAGTCCTCACCCTCCACGGGGCTGGAGTTGTTGCTTGTGATGTAAGGCTTGGATAACAGTGCTGTGCAGACAACAGAAAGAAGATTTCCCTGTGTTTCCCTGTTTGGTACCTTTGATCATTGCACAGGAATCTTCCCACCAGAGTTGACCTTTCTCACCTCTCTGACTACCATAGTCCTTAAGAAACCAGGAAGGAGGTGAATCACAGGCAGTTGGAGGACAAGGCTCAGAGATGGTAGACTGTGTGGGGGAGAAGCACAGACTCCCACCTGGGATCTAAGTGTAGTGTTTGCTGATAGACAGGCCTAAGACCCAGAGGCAGAGACCCCATCACCCCTTGTGGTCCTTACTGACTCCCTGCATGCTTTGCACCGTGAGGTGCTGAGTCCCTCCAGCTGCACTGACCTCCACTGCAGGAGGAATGTGTCCTCCAAGGCTTGGCTTTGCAAGGCTGTCCTACAAGTGTGTCACGATGAGACTTCCCATTGTGCTTAAACCCTGAGAAAACCCACAGCCTGTCCTGAGGACTTAATGTGTGAACAGAAATCACACACAGGAGACCAGGATCAACAGGCCTGGCACTCAGATCAAGGGTCAGGCAGGGCCATGAGGCGGGCCATTCTTCTCAGGAATTTGATGGTGACTGATATGACAGTTTAAAAGACAAAGCATGAGTCCAAGGAATGATCCCCAAGAGTGAAGGCCACAGACAGAACTGTGTTCTTATCCTTGTGTTTTAATGTCCTTTCTCAAACAGATGAGGATCATGTAGAGATCTTAAATGAAATGCAGGAGGATGCCTTCAAATGCAGGTCTACTTGGAAGAAGACAGGAGACAGAAGATGCTGTAACTCTGGCCTGGGAGCCAGGTGTGGTTGACAGATCTGGGATAGGAATTTCTGTTGATAACTCTATTCCATGTGGGAAAACTGTTATCAATACCCAGGGTCTAAAACCAATTCCTGAAAGGGGTATTTCTCTAGGGAATGTGACAAGGCCATCAGCTGAGCAGAGTGCTTCATGGTCACATGATGATCAAAGTAGATGCTAAAGTTGATTTGAAATCAGTGACTCCCTGAGCAGAGACCTGTGAGTCCTGTTGGGGACAGAACTGCTCAGAGGGTGAGTGTGAGGTTTCTGTGTTATATAAGAGGAGAAACCAGGCATGATGGAGCACTCCTCTAATCCCTGCACTCTGGAGGTAGAGGCAAAAGGATCTATGTAAGTTGGAGACCAACTTGGTCTGCAATAGTGAGTTCCAGACCAAGTAGGGCTACATAGTGAGTCTCGTCCCCTCCCCAAAATATGGGGGGACAATCGTAGATTTGTAGCAATGGTAGACATCATGTGAGTACCTTTAAAAGAAATCTCTGCCCCCAATTCTATAACAAAGTGGGAAGGAGTCTGGCGCAGGTATGAGATGCTCTTCCTTTCCTTGGACCCCAGGAACCATAAAGTGAGTTTTATCAAATCCTTCCAAATTAGACATTCTAACTGACTTCATCAAGACTGGAGTATGTCACTGTGTGAGAGGACACAGCTTGTGACTATATGTGACACGGGTGGGTGTAGAAGGAGCATTAGCCCATCCGGTATCTGTGGAGCCACTGGAGGAATGGGGACAACAGTGGGAGGAGGATGGAGTCATAAGTGAGAAGGGGAAGGAGGCAGGGGCTTGGGGGCTGGTAGCGCTGTCCTTCCCTTAGCCCCTGGGATTTCAGGATAGAGAGGAGGTGGAGGAGACACTTCGCCTGCCCTCTGGACTTACTCCACATGTCAGCATTGCCAAATTAAAGAGCCCTGGACACAGACACAAAGGCGGGGAAGGACCAATAAAGGCCACAAACGTCCATGACATTAACATTGGGGCTAAAATGACTTCCAAGACCCCAGGGACTCACCCACATGGCTGACTCAGAACTAAACCAGTGTCACTGTGACCACACCTGCACATCCCAGCAGCCCCAGGGTCATCATGACTGTGCTTCCTCAGGTGGCTATGAGCAGGTGGTGGAAGGATTGATCAAGAATCTCAGCTTCCAGGACGGACAGGGAGCAGGTGAGGCCAGACCTCCTGGGACTCTGCACATAAGTCCCAATACCTGGCTCTCCATCGACCATTCATTCATTGTCCACTCTATCATTCATTCATCCATCTTCTACTCTATTATTCATTCATTCATTCATTCATTCATTCCTTTCTTCCTCACAACAAAATATTGGAAGTTGGCTACATGTTGTTCTCCGTGCCGACTGCAAGGTCTAATGAGAGACAGCACAGTCCTCTCCTTTACCCTCCAGTACAGTGACAGCAGCCCACCAGGAAACCTACGACTTCCAGTCCAGTGAGTGGGGGTGTGGGTTGGGAAGACCTGGAATTCTGTTTAAACGGGTGATTTGGTTCTAGTCAGTTGTTAGGGTAATTATTAATTTGCTTTCACTTTCTGGACCAGAGACCCCCTCTGAGCTGCCAATGCCTAAGATTAAAGTATCTGAACCCACAAGTGTTCTCTAGTCCATAGACACCTAATAAGGCCTCCAGGGTGGAGACGTTGGGGCTATGGTTGTAGGCAGACATTTTGGCTCTGGATCTGCCACCGACAGCCTGTGTGACCCTGATTCAGACACGGTACTTCCTGTGTCTCAGTTTCCCTACAGTAGGATACATGGGAAATGGTAATTGCCTGTCTGTAGGTAACCTTAAATATTAACACTGACCTGACCTTGGGACGGCCAGCTGCCCACATCAGCAGCACCTATTGCTGTCTGCCTGCAAGAGAGAACTCCTTGGGCTGGACCCTGAGCACACAGAGCTCCAGGTGGACCTTTATCCTCTGCTCCTCCCCTTGGGGACACTGATCTTCCTGTGGAGTCTCATAAGCTCATCACGGCACTTGTCTAGTGGCCTGGGCACTTGTCCTCTGTTCTCTGTTCTGAGACTCAGGAGGAGATGCCCAGGTGACCGAGCCTAGATGTGGCTCTCAGGACAGTGCACTGAGTGAACCCACGGGCCATGACACTCACACAGCCAACAAATCATTGTTCACTTTCAGCTAGAACAGCAGGTCAAAATCCATCCCTGTCCCCAGGCTCCCCAGATCACCTGGAGTCAGGAGTCTGGGAGAGAGGGCTGGAGCCAGGGCATCCTGGTGCTCACCTCTCAGTGAGGATCCCTGGTTTCCTTAACCAGGCCCTGCCTGAGTCTCACAGGGGCCTTCTCAGGATCAAATTCACGTTGAAGGCCCCAAGAGTCTGTGCTGAGTCTGATCCCTCTGTTTGGGTTTCTCTCTGCAGGGTGGACTCAGCTGAGGGATTCTGATCTATTACAGAGTTTGTCTCAACTGTGTATGTCTTGCACTAAATTCTCAAACCACTCATAGTGACAAAATACAGAGGAGAGTTACGCACTACCTAGGCAGACAGTCGTGTACGGATTAACCCCCCATCACCCAGAGGTCACAGAGAATCACTCACGGTGTACGTAGAGCTGAACAGACGTGTCTTTCTTATTGCCACGGCTATCGAGGCTCTGTAACGTGTAGACTCCTGTGTCGTTCTGCTTGACGTTCTCGATCAGCAGAGATCCATTGCGGAATATGGTTTCTCTTCTGCTGTGTGCAAGCCCTTCCACAGATTCATTAGTGCTTAATAAATATCGTGCAATTTCATAGTCATCGGTTGTAGTTATGCCTTTGTACCAGTAAATGATGTTAAGATTCTCAGGCAGGTTGTGGACAAGTAGAAGAACATTCTTCCCTTCAGCAACGAGGGGTGGCACCAGATCAATAGTGGCTTGAGCAGAGGTCGGGGAGCTCCAGAAGGTGAACAGTGAGGCTAGGAGCGAAGAAAGACAAAGCCATCAGTATTGGGAGCTTGTATTTGTTAGAAAGATGGGGCCCTCGTCCTGTGAAGATATGTTCCTCCCTCTTTGTGTGTGTGTGTGTGTGTCTGTTTGTGTGTGTGTGTGAGTGTGTGTGTGTGTGTGTGTCCTCCTGAGCGGAGGTCAGCAGCACGGCCTCCATTAGCTCAATGTCCTGAACTTGTCACTTCCCCTATGGAACATTCTTCCTCAGGGCTCACCCCTCACGGCCCTCAGATCCCTGCTCACTCTCACAGGTCTGGGGGAGGGTACAGGGCACGCCTTCCCTGACCTCCCCTAGGGACCCTGAATTTTCAGTTTCTGACCCTCTCTGCTGTTTCCTTGGTGGCTCTTGTCAATCCCCCATCATCACCTTCTAGAAGTCCTTGCTGGTCTGTTCCCTAGTCCCCTAGGATGAGGGTTGTGTGAGGTCTAGTCTGTTCTTTGTTTAAGCCCCACTGCCTGGAACAGGCTTAGATGCCTGTTGATGAATGAATATATGTTCCAGGCCCTGCGTGTACAGAGGCTTATTTATGAATTTCTTCCATTGGTAGCTAAGAACAATGTTTAATACCCATCTCGGGGTTATTGGAGAATCATTCTGACACTGTTGGGAACGTCTGTCTTCAGCATATAGTGCTCAGTGGTGATTAGCTTAGAACAGGATCACTTGAGTGTCTCCTCCCCCTTACTAATCCCTGTACACTGAGACCTTCTAGTTGCTGAGACTCTGTCCCTCGTAGTGTCCCCTCTCAGGTTCTGTTCTTCCCTTGGCGACCCCAACCAGTGTCTGTGCCTCCCTCCCATGCCCAGGGAATGGGCCCCTCACCTGTGAACAGCAGCCGCTGCCAACAGATACTCCCAGTGCGTGGAGGGGCAGAGAGGGGCTCCGTGGTCAGGGCTGCTCTGTCCTCCCTCTGTGGAGAAGAGCTTCGGCCCCAGCACTGCTCCCCAGCCCTGCTGCTGTGCTGTCAGCTCTGCTGTCCTTCCTCCCTAGACCTCAGCCTCCTCCCAGGCAGAAGCCCCTCCCAGAGTCACATGGGCTGAGGGCTGAGGGCGGGGTCCGTGTCCAGCACACAGCTCTGTCCCTCCTCTCTCAGAGCTGCCAGCCTCCTTCTGCCCTGTGTCTCCTCAATGGTTCAGTCCTCTAGAGCACACTTAGACACCAAGGCTGACAGGGATCCCTTCCCTGAGAAAACAGCAGCTCACCCAGGGCTGACGTCTGCTGTGTCCTGGCCTTGGTCTGACAGCACCGAGGGGGAGCCCTGCCCTCCAAATCCACGTTGTGAAGTGCAGCTGAGCACCCAGGCTTCCCTCAGTTCTCTGGGAAGGTGGGATTTACTCCCTGCAGGAGGTGACAGAGCTGTCTCTGGAGCTGGAAAGTGAGACGCTGAGTGATGACTAGTGGAGGGGAGGGGGGAGCCAATCCTTGTCACTAGTGTCCAGTCTGGACTCTCTCTGATCCAAGGACGGAGGCCCAGGAGCAGTTGTCTCAGGCGTTTCTTTTCCTGGTGTGCAGGAGGAGGTGACCTGTGTGTCCTGGAAAGAGGACTGTGGGCTCCACCATGCTATGCAGGGTTCAGGGAGACCCTCCAGCTCCCTGTGCAGGCTGAGCTGGGGCCCATGTCTCCTGTGACCTTTCTGGGATGCCTCTGCCCTCTGCCTCAGCCACTCCATTAGTGTCAATCTTCTCTTTACCCAATGGTGATGTCAGGAGGGAGAGGACTACACAGCATCTCCTCACGGAGTAATGTGCTCAGAGACACAGGAATTAGCTGGTAGGTCAGAGCAGGATTAAGGGAAGGGTTCTCTAGATCTGCTGGGACAGGGTTAGAAACCAGATTCTGTAAGATCAGTTCTTGTCTCATGGAAGTGATTCTGCATAGTAATTATGTGTTGTGATGTCGCCCTCTGGCGATCACTAGGAGATCTGCAGCTCATGTTTAGGGTTGTGGTAGAGATGATGACCATTCAGTCCCTAATGCTGTTGAACTAGCCTCGTACTTGGACACAGGTGAGCTTTAACTTCCAAGCAACAGGGCTAGTCATCCTGTTCACTATGGCTGCCTAGGCTTTCACAGCCCCATCCAGTGTAGAATGAGTCTAGGGAGAGTTCAGGTTTCTGGGGAGAGTGCATCCAGAGAACAAGGAGCCTCTGGAGGAGCCATGTGCCTCCAAAGATTCAAGGAAAGTCCTGGGACGGTCTCTTAAGACTCTAGGGAGAGGATACCAGCATGGGCACAGTGCCTGCCCATCCTGTCTCTGGTCCATCTCTTCTCCCTAAACCCTTGTATTCTTTGCCCAAAGAATTCTGAGGGGTCTGCATAAAGGACACTATCTGACCTTAATGGATGTGTTTTATCCTCTTCCCTAAACACCGTTTTAAATTTTACAGTATTCACAACAAAAGTGCTAGCATAGCCTGTTAAGCATACAAATAAATACCATTAGTTATGGCAAGTTGTGCGGCTACCACACCTATTTCCAGATTTTATCACCTGAAATAAGCTGTCACCGTTGTGATATAACTCCTTATGACCCTCATCCCCTGCTGACCTCTAATCTACTTCCTTTCCCTAGGAATTGGTCAATTCTTGGTACTTTCTAAAAATGAGCTTTGCTCACCTAAGCCTTTAAATAATGTTTAAATTTTATGTACATGAATGTATTACCTGCATGTATGTAAGTGCTCCTGTGTCATGCATAGAGATCAGAAGAGGACACTGGATCCTCTGGAAGTGGAGTTACAGACAGTTGTTAGCTGCCATGTGGGTGTTGGGATTTTAACTCAGGTCCTCTACAAGAGCAGCCAGAGCTCTTGATCTCCTAGCCAACTCTCCAGCCCCTAACCTAAGCCTTTTTATTTCTTAGTACTAATATTTTAGGTTTACCTATTGAAGAGCTGTGGCAACTCCATTTTAAAACCAACCTACACCCCAGTTGAATCTCTCCAGTAAGAGCGAGTAGTTCCCAGAATACCCAGAGACCAACTGCCACAAACGGTCAAAACTGCCTCCCAACCACAAACGGTCAAAATAGCCTGACAAACAACCAATCACCTACGGCCCCATACATTCATGCCACCATGACGTAAGGCTGTGATGGGCCCCCTATAAAAGGCCAGCCCAAACGATGGACTGGGCCTTCTCATAGAGCTGGGGCACCAGTCTCTGTGTTAAGGGCCCTACGGCGGTTTGTACTTTTGTTCAATAAACCTTGCTTTTGCAGTTTTGGAAGTGTCGGGCAGTCGCTGGTCTCTTTGGGTCCTGAGGCTGAAATATAACACTATGTAGGAGCCTGCGTCAGAACTTCAGTTTATTTTATGCTGTATTTATTATTGTTATTGTTTTTCTTATTTCTCTTCCTAAAGAGGACACCCACTCTGCAGCCCAGGCTGGCCTCTCAGGATTAGAAATATCCTACCCCAGGTTCCTAAATGCTGGGATTGCAGGTGTGAGCCATCCCATCTGGCTCCAGAACTTTGCCTTTTTAGCTGTTTGATATCGCGGTGTACCGCATGCCACATTTATCTGTGTTCACCTGTCCGTGGACATGAGTTGTTTCCATTGATTGCCTCTTGTGCTGCTGCTGGAAACTCCCTGAGCCTCTTTCCCATCAGGGTGTGTGCCCAGCTGGGGGAGTGCAGGGTCACATGACAGTTCCCTTAGGCTCTGTTTGAAGCTAAGTGTTTGCTGTGGCCTAGCCACCTCGTCCATCCTTGTGTACTGGGCAGCATGGTGTTAACCAAGACAACTTGTCACCTGGCATTAAGCAGCATATTAGCCCAAAGCCAAGACCCAGGGTCGTCTTGTTCCTCATTGATTTGGAGCAGTGCTGTACCGAGGTTGTCAGTTTGCTCCCAGAGGTTGACCTGCCTTTCTCTGACCACACGCCTGTGGGACTGCAGCTGCTGCTTGGCTCATTTAGAAACATAAGGCACCCATTGAAAAAGAGGTCCTGGCCAGTGGGACCTGCCAGAGTGTCCATACCTTCTCATCCCCAACAGCATTGGAACCAGCCACCATGAACTGTCCCGTAGCCTACACTGGTTCTCACATCCGTCAAAAAGCTTCTACTATCTGATGCCTTTGATGGGTACTGGCCTTTTCACACGCTTTCACACTCAAACTGAACCAGCATTTCTTCGTGGTCTTGAGCCTACTGGTCTCCAGGCTGTAACTGTACTTGGGGTTCTCCTGGGCGTCCAGTTTGCTGACCCACTGTGATTATCTTTGAGACATATCAACTCCCATGATCATGTGTGAGAATCCCTTCTAACACATCTCTCTTTGCACACACATTCGCATGGATCTGGGACTGTGGGGCCTGCTTCTCTGGAGAAGCCTGACTAAACACTCGAGTTCCGAAGTTTAAGAATATTGCAGAGAAATGAAAAGTATTTTACCAGCCATTCCTGGGCCTGCCTTGACTCGAGGCAGCTTTAAGGATGATGCTTATCTTAGGCACCTTTCATCTCCTGAGTCGGTCTGAACTTTCCTCCTTTTTCATGGTCTCACATAGGTTTTGATGCTGAGCTTACTTAGCCCTGCACTGTAACATCTGTCCAGGCCGGCCTGGTACCTCATTGGAGGACCCAGTGTTCCTCGATTTGAGTCTTTTTCTCAGCCCTACATCACCAGACTTCTCAATTATCTCAACACGGAGTGGGGGAAGTCATTTGACTGTCCTGAGGATTCATATGGACTTGACGGTTCTTTAATCTCACAATCATTTGCTAAATGAATTTTATTAAATACCAAGTACTTGAATAAAGTGGGATGGCATTTTTAGGCAGGGTGACAGACGGCGTCTTTGAGTCACTGTCCAGTGTGCGGACGGCAGAGCCTTCCTGGGGGAGCCTCAGGCTCACCACGGTGTGCACTTGCTGCTGTGGCACATTCGTCCCATTTCCGTGTCTGAAGACCCAGCTCCCAATCACAGTAACAGAGAAGCACAGCCCCAGAAGGAGCCCTGGAGATTGTAGAACCGAGACAAGGAGAGAGACAGCACACCTGCGATCCCAGAGCTCAGGAGGCTGAGGCAGAAGGATCTGGAGTCCCAGGCCAGTCTATGAAAGACGAAGATGATAGAAGACAAATATTTGCATCTCCACCAGAATTTTATAGGGGGGCAAATATTAAGTAGTCTTGAAAAGTGTATTCTAGAATCAGATGGTGTGTTAAAGATGGTGAGAAAGTCAGTAATTTCTTTGTTACTATTTCATTATTTTTGTTTTATGTGTATGAGTTTTAATACCCACATGTATGTATGTGCACCCATGTCATACAATGCCTGCCAGGGCCAGAAGAATGCATCTGGTCCCCTGGTACTGGAGTTACAGGTGGTGGCTGGCTGCCATGTGGGTGCTGGGAACCAAACCTAGGCCCTCTGGAACAACAGCCAGTGCTCTTAACTGCTGAGCCATCTCTGCAGTCCCCTAAATCAGTAATTTCAGGAGCCCCTGCCTGGGGACGAGTCCTGTGCAGGGAGGGGTTGAGAGGGCTCCATGGGCTGCATAGGCTCTGCCGCCTCTTCTGACTTCCCTCTGTGGAGAACTTTGGCTCCAGCAATGCTCCCATGGCGGCTCTGCTGCTCTTCCCTCTGATCTGAGCCTCCTCCCAAGAAGGAGCACCTCCTAGGGTGACCTGGGCTGAGGGCTGCATCTGTGTCCAGGAGGTCTCTTTGTCCCTTCTGAGCTCAGTCCTGCCTCCTGTCTGCTTGTCCTAGGGATTTTCTTACTGACTTTATCACGTGTCCCTCTGCCGCCCTCTTGCGTTTGTGTGGAGACCTGCAGGTCGTCTCAGGCCCTGCAGCAGAAATGCTGACCAGGCTCCAGTGCTGAGCTCTGCCCTGACCCGACACACAGGTGGGCGGTGAGCGCCAGGCTGGAGGGCCGGTCATCCTGGGTTCTGATCACTGTGGGTTCCGAGACCAATGACTCCATACAGTGCCGCTGAGTCTAAAGGGA